GCACCGAGCTCTCGCGCACACATCGCTCCGGAGAGAGAGCCGCTCTCCTCTGCCCCAGCCCGGGAACGAAGGTAAGAAGCTGTGTTTTCTCCTGGCTCCTTTTTGAATGGAGAAAAAGGTGGGGGTTGCAGGGCCGATTTTGAAGGGAAGCGAGGGGCAGAGCTCAGGTTTGGGAGAAGGGTTAGGACGGGGTCTGGTGAATTACCACACAACAAAATCCTGTTCTTGGCTGCGGTGTCTCGTCCGTACAACATGCTACCTGTCAGAAGCGGGTTTCCTAGTTCTCTGTGAAGAAAAGCGGGACTCCGTGGAAAGGCGGCGGGGCTGGGGCAGCAACGCGGTCCCCTTGTTCCAGGGGGTGTAACATGCCCCCTGGGTTATGTGTCTTACGTACCGAGCGGGTCTGCCGTCTGCTTTGCAGCACAATGCTGTGAGGTGGCTTTTTGTTCTGCCCTGGGTAATCCTGTGGTTCTCCGATGTTGCCAGCCAAGGCTTGGATTGCGTATGTGAGGGGCAGCATTTACCACGGGGGAAAACACCCTGTGTCTTCTTCCCTTTCAGCTCTGTGCGGTGGCTTTTAGAATAACCACAGAAACAGCTACCATTGCCAGTAGGTCTCGCCCCAAAGTTGCATCCTTGTTCAAAGGAGTGGGGCGGGTTGAGGGACAGTAACTTGTCCTTAGTCAGATGTCAGTCTTCCAAATACATGGGTTTTGTTCATCTCTAGATTGATGGTGGATTTAAACCTTAATGAACCAGTTTGCCAAAGCGTGGTTACTTCCTTACCTCCGGTGGACACCTTGGATGAGTGGAGGAGGCGATTTGCTGCCTTGATTTTTGAGTGCAAGAGATGCTCTTACTGAGAGTCTCAGACCATGACTTGTTCCTGTTTATGAATGATATTTAAAAGTGCAATAAAGGGGTCTGATGAAAGAGAAATAAGAGTGTGGGTTTCCTCTGGTCAGATGGACAGGAAGAGTTTAATATTCTCTCATGGTGTGATTTTTAAAAGGCAGCTTTGTCTTTTCAACGAAAAGTACATTGATGATTTTTTCCCCCTGAATTTTTATCATTTTTATTATAGGGAAGGCAGCAGATAATTTTGCAAGTGAAAGAAAGAATGGCTCTTAGTGGAGTAAAAATAATAATAAATGTCGTCTTGGTAGCTCATAATTTCTTAAAATGTAGGATTTTCCCCCTTAATATTATATACTGCTAATTAAGAGTGTATATGTCTCCTCTTTGATCACCATTCTCTGTTGTGAAAATCTGTAGGGTTTTTTAATGTCATCTTTATGAAATGGATCTGGCATCTTAAAACTTGTGAGGTAGCACATTCTCACATAGGAAGCTTTAGACAGGTGCTAAGGACATAGAGACACACTTCTCAGATGATTCTCATTAAAGTAAGTCTGCACCATGGCTAAAAGGTGCAGTGTTCCTAGTGGGGTGTGTTGAAACCATGAAGCTTGCCTGAAGGGTTCATTGAATTTAATCAGACCCGTGGTCAAAACAAGTCATGCTTGAATTCTACAATTCTACCTCCCATTTGCCTCTTCATGGAGAATAAGTAAAGATCATTTTCCCAAAGAGAAACCCGAGCGTCAGTCGGGGACCCAGAATGCCCCTGATTAGAGTTCTGTGATGACTCCGCGTGCCATTAAATGAGGTAGAAAGTTGGAGATCTGGGCTGCATGAATGAGGACAAGGCTCACCCTTGGTTACCTATCCCCTAGACAGGGCCGGCCTCGCTTTGTCTGGGGGATGTGTGTGCAATCTGCATTCCTCTTCCGTGTAGGTTTCACAGCAGAGTAAGGAAATGAACCTTGGACAATAGGTAGAATAAAGAGAGCCCTCTGACTTTGTTCTGGAAGCAACGAAGAAAAATGCCTATTTTCTGCATGCATGTGATTTTTACATTCCTGTTGGAAGCAGAGCATTAGTGAGTAACAATAGCTCAGTAACTGTGATGGTAGACTTTAGGCAAAAGATGGACATGCCACCATGGCGTAAAAGGAGACTGCGTGCATTCTGGACATATGGAACAGTAAAAGACAATACTTTTGCTGTTGAGATTTTAAGTGTGCATTCTTTTCTTTTTTTTCTCTCCATATGGCCAATGGCTACCAGAAACATGACTCCATTATTTCATGGCCAGCCTAGGGCATCATATGGTAGGCAGATTGTGAATGTATTTGGTTGACTTCGTTTCTACGTCTACTTCAGGAAGCAGGCCCAACATTTCAGTATAAGGGCTCCCTGGTCAAAGCAGAAAGTCTGTCACTGAAAGAGGGCTGTGCCTAGAAGAAAACAGCTTCTTGGGATGTAAGACATAGACTTTGAGTTCAGCAAATTTCCCTTTTGTCCTTACTACTTAATCTACTACCTTCATTTATGAGTCTTAGTTTCTTCACTGTAAAGAGGTCTTATGAAGATTAAAAAACCTTATCACTGTAATCAAGAGATTTTTATTGCTTTTTGTTTTGTTTTAGGTGTTTGTGTGGGTAAGTGTGGCTTGTGAGTAAAACAGCACCTGATACACACAGTAAAGGAGCCATAGCAATATAGTTAAACACTTGGTTGCGAACTGAAAAGCCAGGGGTTTGATCCCACTAACAGCTTTCTAATGATTTAGAGCCGTGGAAACTCTTTGGGGCAGTTTCTTCTGCCAATTGGGTCGCTCTGAGTCAGAACCGACGTAAGGACAATAGATTATTTGGGGCTGGGCTGCTGTTGTTCAGTGCTCTGAGCCCGCCCAGATGCACAGCAACCCTGCATACTGCAGAACGGCCAAAACACGATGCAGTCCTGTGCCATCTCACGGTATTTCTTAGGCTTCAGCTCCTTGTGGCAGCCACTAGGTCAATCCATATGACTGAGGGTCCTCATTTTTGATGACTATCTACTTTCCAAGCATGAGGTTCTTCTCTGGGGATGGCCCCGCCTGGTAGTATGCACAAAAAAGAACATGATTAAATCTCACCCTCCTCCCTTAAAAGGAACAATCTGACTGCACTTCTACCAAGACAGATTCGTGCATTCTTCTGGCCAGTCTATGGTATATTCAATATTCTTCACCAACACCGTAATTCAAAGGCATTAATTCTTCTTCAGCCTTTTACATTCATGGCCCAACATCCATGCTCAGCATACAAATTGAATAAATATGGTGAAAGGATATAAGCCTGATGGACACCTTTCCTGATTTTAAACCAAGCAGTATCCCCTAGTTCTGTTTGAAGAACTGCCTTTTGGTCCATGTACAGGTTCAGCGTAAACACAGTCGAGTGTTCTAGAATTCCTACTTTTCACATTGTTTTCCATAATTTGCTATGATCCACATAATCAAGTCACAGTCAAGAGAACACAGGTAAACATTCTTTTGGCATTCTCTATTTTTAATCAAGATCCATGTGACATCAGCAAAGCTAGTCCTTGTGTTCAGCCGGGTTTCCACTTCTATATGCATCCTTATAGAAAGAGATGTGTATAAAGCAATGCCTCACACGGTTGTAGAAGCAGGTAGATGCTATCTCATCAAGTCTATGGGTCAGATGGTAAGCTGGAGGCCTCTCCTGACTTTCAGTTAGCTGCAGGGCCCAGTGACCCAGAAAGCAGGAAAATCAGAACAAGGGGATGCTGTATGGTTTCGAATCAGGAAAGGTGTGTATCAAAGTTCTATCCTTTTGCCACACTTACTTAATATGTCTGTTGGGCAAAGTAATCTGAGAAGCTGGACTGTATGAAGAAGGTGGTAGCATCGGGATTGGAAGAAGCCTGATGAACAACCTGTGGTATGCAAATGATACAACCTCACTTGCTGAAAGCTTAAGGGGACAAGAAATACTGATGAAGATCGAAGACTACAACCTTCAATATGGATTCCACCTCAACATAAAAAAAAAAAAATCCTCATAATTGCACATCACAGAAAACATGAGTTGCCAAGAATTTCATTTTACTTGAATCCACAGTCAATGCCCATAGAAACAGTAGTCAAGACATCAAAGGGTTTTTGCATTGGTCAAAGTTGCTGGAAAAGATCTCTTTAAAGTACTATGGAGCAACAATGGCACCGTGATGACTAAGGTGTACTAAGGTGTACCTTACCTAAGCTATAGTATTTTCAGTTGCCTCAAATGCATTAGAAAGCTGTACAATGAATAAAGAAAGCTGAAGAAGAATTGATGCCTTTCAATTATGGTGTTGGTGAAGAACACTGACTATAGCATGTCACGTTCTGGTGGCACTATGAGGTTAACGGAAAGGCTGGTGGTTATACACACCGGAAACTCCACAGTAGAAATATTTGGCAGTCTCCTATAAAAAGTTACATCCTTGGAAACCCTATGAGGGAGTTCTGTGCTGTCCTATAGGGTCACTATGATTCAGAATCAACTTAACAGCAGTGGGATTTTGGTCAGAAGAATAAATAAATCTGTCTTGAAAGAAAGACAGCCAAAATGCTCTTTAGAAGGGAGGATGAGGATACTTAAATAATTTGGACTTCAAGAAGGATCCATTCCTAGAGAAGGACATCATGTTTGCAAAGTACCAAGAAACCAAACTCATTGCCATCGACTTCTTGGGAGAAAGGTGAGGTTTTCTGCTCCTGTAAAGTGTTACAGTCTCAGAAGCCCACAGGGACAGTTCTACCCTCTCCTACAGGGCCTCTAGGCGATGATGGTCAAGTCCAGAGGGTCCTTCAAAAGAGAGGAAAACATCAATGAGGCGGATTGACATGGTGACTGAAGCCATAGGCATCGGTAGAGGCATGATTCTGAGGATGGTGCAGGACTGGGCAGGGTTTCATCCTGGGGTGTGTACCTAGGGTTGGCGGCATCAGTTAGAACCAACTCAATGGCAACAACAACAACAACAACAGGTATTGAAATGCCATTTTTTCTCTTCCTTAGTGGCACCTCCTCAAAGGCTTGAGGAGACATTTTTTAAGTGGTTGTAACATAGCATATTAGTATACTTTTCTATAAAGAGCATAATTATCTTATTTGTATTTATCTCCTGTATACAAAAGTATTATCCCTAGTATTATGCCTGCCTAATTTGAGAC